TTGTAACTAAGGGAGCATGTCAGTACAGTGACCATTGGCTTGAATTTTCAGGACAGTGCTGGTATCAAGTGATCAGAGTAAGTACATGGGATTTGATTCCAGACCTTTTAAGGCTTTATCTAAATAAATCAACAAGACAGAGAACATAATTTTTCTGACTATACAGGCAATTTTGTCTTTAGACAATGTGGTCATAGTGAGCGTAAGAGACGTGGAGTGTGCCCAGTCAAACGAAACCCACGCAGAGGACAGAGAACCAGAGCCCCGCTCGGCTGGGGCAGGCAGGGAGCCCCCCATACCCTAACCTCCCCACATTCTAGGACTCGTGCTCATCCAGGCAACAAGTATTTCTTGAGTCCCTACTATGTGCCAAGCTCTGTTCTAGGCGCCTGGATTCAGCAGTGAACACAGTGAAGATTCCCACCCCTGTAGTTTACGGTCCGGGGGACGGGGGGTGAGGGGGGGGAGAGGGACAGACAATAAATGTAACAACTCAGTAAATTCCATAGGAAGTTAGAAGACAAACACTATGGGAAAAGAAAGTGCAGAATATGGGGGATGAGGAGCACAATCTTAAATAAGGCGGCCTGGGGAGACCTCATGAGAAGATGATGTGAAAATCTGGAAGAGGGGAGCCAGGCAGAACTGGAGGAGGGATGGAAGATGTGCAATGTCTCCTGAATGTGCATGACAATTGACAACTCCCTGGTATGCGCCCCATGACCCCCGGTCCGTGCCTTTGCCCACACCAGCCTGTGAGTTCCATGTGGGGTAAGATGGCCTGACTTGCCCTCAAAAGTATTTATGGGGTTTGTGGATTGGAATGGAATGCTACCTGCAACCTGCTTCTTCACCTTCCTCCTAGCAGACTCCTACTCATCCCTCAAGACCCAAACACATATGGGCAGAGTTGGTTGCTCTCTCCTTTGAGCTACCCACCCTTATGCAAACTTTGTACCTTATACAAACTTCTTTTATAGCCCCCGATGCACTGCGTTTCCCTCGTTTTCCTGCAGGTCTGGGCCTTCCCCTGGATTGGGAGCCCTAGAGAAGATCTGACCTGTCCTAGTTATTTTTGGATCCCGAGGGCCTCCTGGAGATGCTAGGTTAATGGTGACAGAATTGAAATGACAGATCGTTCCTTCAGTGCTCCCTCTCAGGGAAGTGGTTTGCATTTCTGGGACCTGGGGCACATCAGTTGAGCTCCTTTTGGTTGTGAGCAAGAGAATTCAACTCCTGTTAAAGTAAGAAGAAAAAGGTAATGTTGGGGATGGGAGCAAGGAGCTGGAGCCCAACCAAACCTCAGGGAGGGAGAAAGAAGGGCAACCCCAGGACCTTGGCACCTGCCGTGCCTGGGTTCCCTGACTGCAGCCCCTAACGTGCTCAGCTCCATCAGCTCCAGCTGTGGCTCTGCTTCCCACATCCCCAGAGCAGGACTCAGGCCAGCTCCGCTGGGGTTGGGGCCTCCCTTGGAGCCATCAACCACCCTAGCCACCAGGGAGCAGGGTAAAGTAGACAGCTGGGCCCTGGGCGGGGTGGGGGTAGTGGGAGGTAAAGAATCCCAGGAAAAGAAAGGGTCACCCAGCTTGGGGACCACACCCAAAGTGTCTCCTTCACAACACCCTGCCCCGGCCCCAGCCTGCCCGTACCCCTACCCCGAGTGAGAGGCCAGGGACTCCAGCCTCCTATGAATGGTTAGCGTGACGGAGGTAAACACACTGGGAACAGCCTCTCACCACTGGGGGGCTGCATTTTTAATGAAGGCCTGGTTTTGTAAAAATCAAAATTGTAACATCTGCCACTTTCTGTGGTGTAAGTACTGCCACCATGGCCAATTTCAAGTCGACATCATGACATCTCTGAACTCGGAGTTGGGAACAGATGCACGCAGTGGGCGCCTGCCAGCTGGTGCCAGCCGGCCCCGGCACAACCTTGGCTGTGGGGGTCAAGGTTCGAGGGCATGAGCTCCTCAGACTGTGAGGAGTCCTGCCCTAGTATGAGAGCGAGCAACGGAGCTTGAGGAGGTATGCGTCCTCCAGCCGTCCTCTGAGAAATGAGAGCTCGGGTCCTGGACGCTTGTCAGGAAGGCCTGGGTTTGAGTCCTGGGTCCACCTCTGACCCGATGACCTTAACCTCCTTCAGGTCCTGCCCTCTGGACAGATGGCAAATCCCAGGCCTGCGAACCTGGCTCCTTCCTGCCTCCTGGCCCTGCTTTCAGGCCCTGGGAGGTGCTGAGCAGGGTCCTACCTCCAGGCCTTCCTTATGCCGCCCCTCCGCCTGCAGTGCTGGGTCCCCTACTCGCCCTCTGGGGCTCCGCTGAACCACCTCTTCCTTGGACCCCCTCCCCGCCACCTTCCAAACTAGCTTCTCCTGTTATCCCCTGACCTGAAGCCTTGGTGCAACGGCCTGTATAACATCTGTCCCCCGCACTGGACTGGAGGCCACAGGAGGGCAGGACCATGCGGCTCTTTCCTTCACCACTTTGCCCCCGTGTCTAGCACAGTCCAGAGCCTGTAACAGGTAGTCGGTCCCTCATCGTTGAATGAATGCACACGCGATGCATGAAGAAATTATCCCGTCTCTGCACTTCACAGTTTCTTCTTCTATAAAATGAGAATAAAATGTCTACCTGAAAATATTCAACACCTAGAGAGAGCCTGCTGTGTGCCCATCTTTTCCAGATACTGACTCCTTCAACCCTCAACAGCCCTATTGGGGAGATGCTGTCATTATCACCACCATTTTCCAGGTGAGGAAACTGAGGCACAGAGCGGTCAGGTGGCCTGCCCTCATTTCCCTGGTCAGATCTGGACCCAGGCAGTGTCTCCAGCACCCGAGGTTGAACTCAGGGAAGCTCAGCCCTGCATGGGAGGGCTGGGGAGGGCTCCCGGGGGGTGGTGATGTTGCTGCTGCTGTAGCCCCCTTGCCCCGGAGCGTGAGCCCCATGGGCAGGGCTGACGCTGATAAGCACTGTAATCAGGGGACACTCGGGCGGAAGCCGCCGCCCGAGTCCCGGGAGGCTTCCTGGAAGCAAGACACCCTGGCTGAGTCAGAAGCCACATGGGATAAGGTGGCCGGAGAGCTTTGATGGAGATGCCCCGGCTGTACTGCTGACCACTCCTCCCCCATGACCCACTGATTGCTTAGGGGTTCAGCCAGATCCTCGGGGCTCAGGGGTAAATCTTGCTTCCCAGAATCCTGCTCTCCTTCCCAGAGGTGGGGTTAGGTGTGGTCATGTGACCAGCTCTGGCCAGTGAGAAGTGAGGGAGGCTGCCGGACGAGAGGACCTCTGACGCTTCTGGTCCTCCTCGTGCCTCATGTGACAACTGGAACCGGGACGGCAACCTTGTGGCCGCCGCCCTGTAGCCTTGAGGGAAGCTGCCCTAAGAACAAAGCAGTTGCACTAAGTGTGCCTAGTGGAAATAGGGGACAGCCCAGGGTCCTTGGTGACGCTGCTGGGCTGCTGAATAACCAGCCCTGGAGTTGCCCCACCCTGGGACTTAGGGTTATTTGTCTTTTTTGATGCTTTATGTTCAATATGTGTTCCTTGCACCCAAAAGCATCCTAACAAATTTTTTGTTGTTGTTACTGCCGTCGAGTGGATTCTGACTCCTAGGGACCCTGTGGACAGCCGAGCAGAACTCCGCCTGGTCTTTCTGCGCCATTGTCTCACCTTGGGGCGCTGTGTCAGAAGATGCTCCACTGCTATTCACAGGGTTTTCATGGCCAAGTTCTTCGGAAGTCAGTGGCCAGGTCCTTCTTCCTAGTCTGTCTTAGTCTGGAAGGTGCGCTGAAACCTGTCCACCATGGGTGACCCTACTGGTATTTGAAATCCCGGTGGCATAGCTGTCAGCATCACAGCAACACGCAGCCACCACTAACAACCAACAGATGGGTAGTGTGGTTACTTGACCAGAAACAAACCCGGGCCACGGCGATAAGAACACCGACCTTAACCACTAGAGCACCAATCCTAACAAATACACAAGGGATATGTAGCAAAAAGCGGAGGGAGGAAAGGAGTCTTTTCCAGGTTCTTAAGTGTCAAAACCAGAAGGAGAGTGCCTGTCTGCCCAGCCAAGAGTTTGGGGAGAGGACGGATTGAGTAGACACACGGTCCCCTTTCCCCCAACACCCAAGATGCCCCTGCGGGGGGCGAGCAGAGGGGAAGCCAGGAATGTGTCATGGTTGGCTAAAAAGTGGATCCTGCCCCATCCTCCCCAGCTGAGCCAGGTTTGGGGGGCTACAGAGGAGACCCCCAGCAGTTTTGGGGCACCTGAGATTCAGAGGAGCTGTTTCTCTCTCCCGGGCAGAACTCCAGGGAGGTGGCTGAGACCCCAGGGAAGAAACAATCACAGGGTATATCCAGGCAGACGAAGACAGGCTCAGACAGCCCTCTGGGGGACAGAGAATTTGTGAGGTAGGCACCTGTGCAGAGAGGCCCTGGACGTCCCAACAGGGATGAGGACCCAGGAGGCTGTGCAGGGATGAGCATGGTTCAGAGGTGTGGGGGCGGACCCAGGAGCTCAGAGCAGATGGGACCTTGACAAACTCAGCAGAAGTCACGTGCACATGCAGCGCCAGGTGACCCCTCCCTGCGGCCAGGATGGCGCACCCCCTGGGGAAGGTGCTGGGAGAGGAACCCCAGCTGGCCAAAATCACATTTCTTTGACTTCAGCAGAATGGACGTGCCTAACGGAAATTAAGTTTAGTCGTGGAGAAATAAAGCAAGTTCTATTTCGTGTACATCTGAGTTTGCGGTGTCAGTTCATTCCCCCCAGTGGTGAACAGCAGACAGCCAGATGAAGGTCGGCCACCCGCACCCGCACCCTCACTCTGCTGCTGCCCTGCACAGGGTCCCCTGTTTGTGTGAGCCCGGACCCCAGTTACACTTCCTCCCGCCCACACCATCACCTCCAGGCTGCGACGTCACACCGCATCCTGACCCTGGGCTACGACCCCGGGCCTGGTGCCTGGCCGCCCCCGGGCCTGGTGCCTGGCCGCCCCAGCTTCTCGTCCTGGGTTTGTAGGCCAGCTGCTCCCAGCCACGCCGGCTTAGCCCCGTGCACTCTTGACTCGTGTCATGGAAATCCCTCCTTCCTCTCTGGCTCCCATGGCTGCCCGCTGGCTCCAGCTCTCCCCTGCTCGTCCCCACCCATAATGTTCTTGACATCTGTTTTGGTTGTGGTGAGTTCCTGCCTATGCTCCTCCCTGCCACCCCCCCACATACACGTGGCAGTATGTGGCTACTGGAAGACCAGAGGAGCTGGCAGGAAGAGGAGGGAGCTGGAGAGGGAGTTGCCTGATTTCACCTCTTGGCCAATGACTCCTCTCCCCCTGCCACTCGGTGAAAATCATTCCTGGAACCAGTGCTCTTCTCTTGGAGCACCCGCCGTGTGCCAGCCACTGCTGATGCGCAAACCACCACCACCTTCTGTCCTTGCTCGGAACAAAGCCGAGACTCGCGGGAGGAAGTGACAAGCCCGGGTCACACGTATAGGAAAAATAATGTCTGCTCTGAGCCAGGAGCTGTTCTAAAGAAGTGTGGACAGAACCCGCTGGCCTGGCTGCAGAGCCCACGCACTCTGGAATTTGAGCTTCTCTGAAACTTCTCAAGCCCTGTCACATACACTTAATATTTTCTGGGGCAATCAGCATTAATTTCAGGTTTTCTGCCCCATTGTTAGTCCATGGGTCTGATTTGGGGTTCTGAAAATACAGTCACCTCACATAGCCTCAGATACTCCCAAAGGCCTTGATGGGGCAAGAGACAAGGGACTTTGAATCTAATGTGACAGGTAAGGACAACGAGAGGTCCAGAGAGACTAGACCAGCTACCCAGCACCCTCCAGTCCTCGAGTCAATCAGTGACTCCCCCGGGCAGAGCTGGGACAGGAGCCCACCTCCTGGCACCCAGGCTGCCCTCTTCCTGCTGTCAGAGAAAAGTCCGGTAGGAGCAACAAAGCCTGGAGACCTTTTGCCCAAGCTGGACCCCCACCTGGCTGCCCTCCTCCTGCCCCTCTGCTATGAAATCTCTTACCTCCTTCAAAGTCCAGTGGGGACACGGCCCCCTCCTCCAGAATGACGTCCACAATTCTCCCACTTTCCAGGCGTTCCATGTCCTCCCCTGGACCACAGCACGGCCCCCTCACTGCCTCCGGTCTCACCCTCTACAACCCATGCCCCACCTGGCCACAAGAGTGATCTCCCTCTTAAATCAGCTCTAACCAGTACCCGCACTGCTCAGAAACCTCCAGCGGCTCCCCACCACCTAGGAGGTCAAGTCCAGACTTAGCCTGACATTCGAGGCCTTTCATGGCATGGCCCCTATCTCTCCAGTCTCAAATCCCATCCTGCTCTCTCTCTCTGCATCCTTTCCAAACATCTATCTAGAGTACTGGTCTCTCCCACTGCCCAGAACACAGACTGCATTGTCCCACCTCCAACGTTTTCATACCACTGTCCCCTTTTCCCACATCATGTCTTTCAAAGTCCTATTCATCTTCCAAGGCCCTGCTCAAATGTCCCCTCCACTAAGAAGCTTTCTCAGCTCACCCTCTCTAGAATTGTCCACTTTCTTCCCCGTTCTCCCATGTGGCAGAGGAAGGAGCTCCTGTGTGGATCCTCCTCCCAGGAAGGCTGAGGACTTCCAGATGCACCCTACCCAAAAACATGGAATGATCCAGCTCTCCCATCCGGGCCGCAGGTGACCAGGGACGCAGCCATGCCCAGCCACCTGCACCAGCTCTGCCCCTGGTTTCAACTCAGATCACTGTCTGATCACCCTTTGCCCTCAATATTCCCTGCGTTTGCCTCAGGCCGCCCAGCCAAGCAACGGCAAAGCGGAGGTGAGCTCCTCTGACTCCCAGCCCAGGGTATTTGCACCTCCAGGGCTGCTTGGCCTCCTGGCCCTCCTCTCCCTTCCCCTCCCTGCTGCCCAACACTTCAAGGGGAAACATCATTTTGGAAATACATAATTGAAAGAGATTGCCCCCAGGGTGGGGAGGTGGCTACACGGGTGTTTCACCGGCTCGCTGGAGTCACCAGGACTAAGCACGGTGGGTCTCCTGGGGGACGGTGTCTCCACAGACCTGGCAGCAGGCTCGGGGCCTCCAGGTCCCAGGGCCCTTTCCCACTCCCGCTAAGGCCTCGCCAGCTGGGAGATTCTCCATCACCAAGACCTCGAGGCTCTTGCCACCCACCAAGGATATGCCGGCAAGTCAGGAACTGGGGTCCTGGTGGTCCCGGAGCAGAGGCTGCATGGGAACCGTGGATGGAAGGAGTGTTTGTAGCAGGCCAGATGAGACCACCGAGGAGCTGCCGGTCTTGAGCTCTGAACTGATGCGGCCCGGAACCGTCTGCAGCCTTTGGCCTCAGTTTGCAAAGGACAAACTTCAACACTCCTGCGGGTGTTTGGCAAGGAGTTTCCAGAGCTTTGCTGCCTCAGCAATCAGCAAACGGCCCGTCCTCGTGACACCCACGACACAAGGCTCCTGCCTGGCCCTGGGGGAGACAACTTGACCACCAGGGTCAGCGCGAGGGTGCTGGTGACGCCGACGATGCAGAACAGAGCCAGGACCCAAAGCAGGCCGTGGATCGCTCCTCTGAGCAGCCTCTGCCCTGTCAGCGCTCTCGGGTGAGAGCTACCAGGCCCTCAGGTGAGCTGGGGAGCCTCCGTCAGAGGCCAGACGCCCTCCAAGGAAAGGAAGGCTCGTGTCTATCCCCACCTGTGCGGCGGCTGGGCTCAGCTGAGTCCTGGGGCAGTTACGGTGGGTTCATTTTTCCAGCACGCTCTTCCAAGTGGTGCCCAGAAAGGCATCAAATGCAGCAATAGTAACACACAGCAGTGCAGGATGCCCCCGTCGAGTCAGTACGGGGAGTCGACATGGATTACTCTAAATGTATTAATGTCAGTAGCCACCAGGCTGCTTAGACAGTCAGGACCCCTCAGGACAGTGCACTGTAGAATGTGGTGTATGTTTCACCTCCAGAGAGCATCCAACAGTTCCCTCATAAATGTCAAACACAAAACGTGAGCCCGGATCCCCAGGTGAGGGGCTGTCGTTGTTGGGCACCTCCGAGCACCCACTAGAATGTTAACTCCATGGGTGTTCTCCGGGGGTAGGGGAGTGGATTCTGCTCCCCACTGCACCTCCATGCCTAGTGGGGTACCCAGCACACAGTAGGTGCTCAATAGGTGCGGTTCAAAGGATGAACACAGCGCTCAGCAAGCAACCTCTCTTCTAATCCTTACGGCCACCTCATGAAGTAGATTATCATCATCCCCATTTTACAGACGAGGAAAACTGAGGCTCAGGGATGTGGGGACTTTCCCAAGGCCACAGCCAGGGCACGGCACAGCGGACTCTGAACCGGTTCCCCCCACCCCAAGGCGCACCGGCTGCTGGAGTGACGAGGGGCTGGCTTCTTTGTGAGTGGGGAGTATGTGAGGTGGACCCCTGGGCTGCCTCAGTCTCTCTGGAGCCCCGGATCTGGGCGGCCCCCGTGGAACCAGGACCGTCTGCCCTCCCAAGGAGGGGAAAGGGAGCCGAGCAGAAAGAACCAGGCTGAATTGCCAGAAGACACACATCCTTTAATCACGTCGGACAAGCAAGGCAGGGGCCAAGTCGGGCTGGGGCGGGCGTATAGCACCGGCCTTCTGGCACTTGGTCAGGCCTGCTGCCACCTCCCAGCCACGTACCACGCAGCCACGGCCCCCTCGGCTATGAGTGAGCACCGGAGACCACCGGGGCCACCTCTGCCCCGGAGTCTGCAGAAGCACCAATGCGCGGAGGCCGTCTCCCTCTGGGGAGGGGCTCAGGCCACCCGGGAGAGAGAGGGACAGAAAGCCCGATGCCCCTTACTTGGCCTCTGCCTCGCCAGGGCCTCTCTTGGCGTCACCGCTCAGAGGAGGGTCCCCTGACTGGCCTGGAATGTTGCCCGCTTCAGTTCCCCAGACCAGCTGAGGGCTCCAAAGCCTGGTGCCTTCCGTCCCGGCCACTGCCCAGCGGCGTCTGTGGAGGCAGCACCAGGCCCGAGGAGGCTCTGCTGGGCGGCAGCTGCCCACCAGGCCTAGCACCTTAACAAAGCCTGGGGAACAGGGGCACTGGGCCTGCGAGAGCGGCCAGGGAGGGTCCGAGAGCACCTGGGGACAGACGTCCATGTCTGACAGAGGCTGGGAGCCTGGAGAACTGAGGCCCGGGCGCTTTGGCAGGGCTGGCTGAGCAAGGCCCTGACAGAGTGCGGGAGCGGGCAGGGAGGGGATACCGTGAGGGGGGCAGGAGCCCTCGCCGTTACCGTTCCAGCTGGGTGGGGAGCTGTGGGTCTGGGCTCCCTCCCCAGGGGCCTCTCTCACCCCAAAATGCCCTCAAGCCCCCAGCCCTCCCCATACAGCACCCTTGCCCTGACCAAGGCCCCTGTGGGGTTTGCTTTAGTGACGGGCATTGGGCAGGAAGGAAAGGAAGGGGCAGGGGATAACCCCCCATCACAGGGACCCTGTCCCACCAGCCTTGGGGAGTGGTGGGTAATGAGGGGCCCAGTGCCTGAATGCCCAGAACAGACGGATGTGATCAGAGCCCCGTGTGTCTCTCGGGGTCTGGTTTCAGAATCCTATCCCCCCGCCCTGGCTGGCCTGGGCGCTCACCGAGGGCAGGGCCTGTGTCTGATTCACCTCAGCTCTCCCAGAGCCTGGCACAGAGTGAGTGCTCGGTGAGTGTTCGATGAATGAATAAACGAATGGCGGCTGCACAGGGCGGGGTGCCGACGAGAGTGAGAGAGAAGGGGGAAGGGGGAGAAGAGAAGAAGAGAACAGAGACGAGGGAGTCCTAGAGGGATGAGAGAATTTAAGGATGTTGAGAAGATTCTAGAATGTTTGGAAGACTCCAGAATGTTCAGAAAGTACTAGCATGTTGTGAATGTTCTAGAATCCGGTTACTCAAGTGTGGTCCACAGACCAGCAGCATCAGCATCACTCAGGAACTTACTAGAAATGCAGACTCCTGGGCCCACTCCACATCTGCTGAGTTTGAATCTGCATTTTAGCACGATCCCTGGGTGATTCACACGCACACTCAAGTTTGAGAAGTGCTGGTCTAAAACGTTAGGAAAGTTCCAGAATACTTAGGTTAGAACTTCTTAAAATATGTCCGAGAGAGGAGAGAGGCAAATACAGGCTGGGAGGAGGGACGGAGGGAAGAAAAGAAAAGGAGATCAGGAGGATGCCAGGCCCCGGGGTGCACGCTACCGAGGAGCAAACCGAGGCCCTGCAGGGGACGGACGTGCCCACGGCCACGCCCCGGGGCCGCCCTGCTGGAGGCCCTACTCGTCCTCGGGCTTGATGAGGTGGCCGCTGAAGGTGATGTAGGTGTCCACATCGTCGCTGTAGACCGCGTTGTCCCGCTCGCGCTTGAAGAGCCGCACCCAGACGCGGTCCCCGGGCGCCAGGGCCAGCATCACGCTCTGGCTCTGCATGATGCTGCGCTCGCTGGGCTGCGCGTACAGGATGACGGCCGCCTCCTCGTTGTGCACGACGTGCACGTAGGTCTCCTTGAAGTTCCAGCTGTGCACGTTGAGGCTGAAGAAGTAGAGGCCGCGCAGCGGGGCCACGAAGCGGCCGGCGGCCAGGTCGAAGTGCCCGTCCGGGTTCACGAAGACCGTGTCGAACAGCAGCGGCTGGAAGCCCTCGCTGCTGTGCAGGGCCGTCTTGCGGCCCACCGAGAAGGCCGAGAAGCGCGTCTGGCACGGGCCACCGGGGCTGCCCGCCTGCCCCTTGGCACCCTTGGGGCCCTGCGGGCCGCGCTCCCCCCGGGGACCCTCCTTGCCCAGCTTCCCAGGAGTGCCCAGCAGACCGCGGTCCCCTTTGTCACCTGTGGGGACAAGAAGGGGAGAAGTCAGGGCAGGCACCCGGGCCTGCACCAAGGAGGCACCTATGCTCATTGGCAGAAGGCTCTGCCCCTGCCCAGAGAAGGAGCCGGCATTTACTGAGCCCCGACTGCACACCAGGCATTGCCTCCCTGAACGCCCCTCTAAAGGAGACACCGTGACCAGCTTCGCTCACAGAGAGGTTAAGTGACTTGCCCAGCGTGACACAGCTCAGGGGCAGGAGAGGCGGGACTCCGAACACGGTCTGTCTCCACGCCCACCTGTTCCCCTCGCCCCGCAGTAAAGGTCCGACGGTAGGCTCCGGGAGGCCAGGCCAGACTCCAGTGGGGATGTAGGGGGTGGCAGGATGCACTTGAGTTTCTGACCCAGAGAAGAAACCAAGGAAAATACCTTTGCCCACCTGGAAGGAAACACCCGTACTGGGAGCCAGGCAGCCCTCGGTTGGCGTTACTGCCCCACTGTGTGACCTGGGGCATTTCAGGGTTGGGGTCTGGGTTTTTTTGTCTGTATCTGGAAGCGGGTCATGCCCACCACACAGGGGTGTTCGTGAGCCCTCAACAAAATGCCCTGCGCTCTGCGGACTCTGCAGGTATGAAGCAGGATGGTCACCCAGCACTGCTCGGCTATCTCTGCCCGCCCTGGGGTCTGGTCACTGGCCCCAAGTCAGACACGCCTCTGCCCAGCCCTTGCTCCAGGCTGACCTGGAACAAGAAAAGCAGTGACCGCTATGTCTTGAGGGACCTGATCCCAAACATTTCCCTGCTGCCTGTCACAGTGCCCGGGATCCCACGTTAGCCACACCCCTTTGAGTGAACTGGCCGGCCCTGTGCTTTCCAAGGGCCCCTGGGAAGAGTGGAGGAAGAGGCAGAGAGGAGGGCACAGGCCCGTGGAGGAGAAGCCTGCAGAGAAGGGGGAGGAGGGGTCCACAGCTCCGTGGAGGTCTGGCTCGGCGGCCTCATGGGAGAACTACCCGCCTCATCACGTGCACAGCACTTTACAGTTTGCAGGGCACCTGCTTGGCCTTAGCCCTGAGGGGTCAGGTGAAGCTGGTTACACGAGGGGTTACCTTCTCCATTTTACAAATGAGGCCGGCAGCCCAGGGTGGGAGAGAGCAGCCTAACCACACAGCGAAGAGCTGGAGAGCCAGGGTGGGGACCCAGGACTCCTAGTGCCAGCCAGGTGCCTTCTGCCACAGCAAACTGCCCACTCGCCCCGGCAGGCAGCTAAGCCCGCCCAGGAGCGGTGACACGGGGCTTTGCAGGGGACAGTGTGGGGGAAGTGCCGTCAGCACCCAGGCACCTCCTCAGCCTCAGGCACAGGACCCTGCGGGCCTTGGGGAAGCTGTGACCTATGAGGTGGTGGGGGGTGTGGCAAGGAAAGGAGGCCGGAGGGTCTCAGACGCCAGCTGACCCCTGGCCGTGGGGTGGAATGGCCTGTGGAGGCCTCAGGGACAGATCCTGGCTCTGCCCCTGACAGCTGTGTCACCCCAGGAGAGCGCCTCCCCTCTAGGAGCCTCAGTTTCCCCATCTACAAAGTGGGAGGAAAGACAAAGTGCAGATCTCACTGGAGTGTTGTGAGCAAAGAAGGAGGTGAAGGATGCCAAGGGCCTGGCCCCAGCCCAGACGTCCACGCCCCAGCCCAGCCCTTCATGCCCCAGCAGCAGAAGCAGCTTCCTTCAGGTCAGATTTTAGAGGACAGGGAGCCAGCTAGGCCCTAGTGGCCTCCACAGGTCTCCCTGCTTCCACTCTTGACCCCTGCCATCTATTCTCCATGTGACATTAGAGGGATCCACTTGGAACCTAAGTTGCATCAGGTCCCTCCTCTGCTCAAGCCTTCCCTTGCTCCCCAACGCACTCAGAGAAGCCCAAGTCTGACCTGGCCCCTGTTTCATCGCCAACCTCAGCTCCTCCCCTTGCCCCTTGTTCCTTAAACACACCAGGCCCACTCCTGCCCCAGAGCCTTTGCACCTGCTGTTCTCTCTGCCTGGAATGCTCTTCCTCAGATATCCACATGGCTTCTCCCTCACCTACTCAGTGAGGCCTACACTGAGCACCCCATTTGACAGGCCACCTGCCTCCACACCTGCACTCTGGATGCCCCTTACCCTGCCCCACCCTGTCATTTCCGTAACATCTATCACCATCAAACATTCTATCTCATTAACTTGGGTAATATGTGTATTGCTCACTGCCTGGCTCCCCCACTAGAATAAAGCTCCACGGCTGTGGGCATCGCTGTCTGGTTTGTTCATCCTCCATCCTAGAATTCAGAACAGTCCTGGCATACAGTAGGTGCTCAATAAATGTGTGAATGAAAGAAAATGTCCTGTTCAGTCTTCTGTCCTGGTTTCTCCTGCTCCCTCCGCCTCACCTCCCCAGGCTGAGACGCCCACGCCCTCCCTATCCCCAACCAGGCCCATCCAGCAGAGCCCCTGTGGGCACTCACCCTTCAGGATGGTGATGTTAATGAAGGGCCTGACCTCAGGCAGCACACATGGGAGGGCGGACGGAGAGGCCGAGGACACATCTGCAGCGTCGGCAGGGACCAGGGGGTCCTCAGAGTCACAGCACCGCCGACAGTGCCCAGGGGGACTGGAGGCCACAGTTTCCCCAGAGGTGGGCTCCTCGGTAGGGACCCCAGACACCAGGAGAGGAAGCAGGAGGACTGTCGAGAGGAGGCCCGGGGCAGCTATCCCCATGGCGACCTGGAGCAGGGCAGGAGGGGCAGACACATGTTCCACTTAACATGGCTGTGCCGGTGCCCGGCGTGGATGCTGCAACCCACAGCCAGCGCTCTCCTGACATAACTCGGGGAGAAACTGTTAGTGTCCCACTTAACAGATGGGAAGACTGAGGCCTACAAAGAAGCAAGTCCTCCAAAGAGACTTGGGCCCACCAGGGCCTGGAGGCTGCATCTCCCGGGACCAATCCACGGAGTTTCTGCCACACATGGCCCTGCGGAGGAGGAAGCCCCTTGAAGAGAGCCACAGCCAAGAGCAGAGCAGGGTCCCGGGAGGCCTTCACTGGGGCAGGTGAGGAGGATGCCCAGCTGCCCATGTGCCATAACCAATGAGACTGTAAATGTTCCTCCCGCCCTCCCGCCTCCCACTGGCCTGTTTTCTCCCCGTTGATTCCATCATCTCCTGCAACCACGTGCCCCCCACCAGTGTGGCATGAGGGAGGGTAGTGGGCCCCTGGGACAAACACAAAGGATTCTGCAGGCTCGTTCTCCAGGAGAGGGGACACGTGGCTGAGCCCATGGTCTGGCATGGGAGCACCGTGGTCCTGACAAAGGAGCTAGGAAAGGTCGTTTATTCTAACAGACAGGAAGCAACACCAACCAAAACGCGCAGGTTATGTGTGGTGATGGTGTTATTATATCGGTGAGAAGTTGGGGGCAGGTAAGCTGCGTTGTACACTGCACGCCCCTGCCAGCCTATACAGCGCCTTTGTGCAAGGTAGAGGAAAGTGCCGCTCTGGACCGACAAATTGGAAATAAAAAAGAAAAGAAGTGCCTTTTGGAGGAATGCAACACTGAATGTGTACAGCTTGGCAAGGGCTGGTGTCAGCCCACCTCCCCTCTCAGCATCTTTGCGCAGTCAACAACCTGCACAACTCCGCCTTACACAGAAGCCCTGCAGGGAAGGCTCCGGAGAGCATTAATTCATTGGAAGGTTGTGTGTCAATCATAATAGACCTGCCAATCAGCAGCCAAGGTGGTAAATTGGGATTAAGGGGCAGGACCAGAAGGGCTGGAAAATTATAAAGGATCAGAGGAGTCCAAGGGCTTGTGAGGGTCTGTCTTTGGCCTTGGCCGAGAAGGGATCAGCGTTCCAGCAGAGAGGCAGGAAGTCGCCTGGACAGGGGCTGGAGACAGGCCGGGGCCGGGTGGGCAGGAAGCCGGGCACAGAGACTTTGAGGCGGTGGCAGTCTTTGGGGGCTGGCGCCGAGTTATCGCAGGATCAGAAACTCGGCTTTTGAAACCAGACTGGTTTTTACACTTCTGGTGTTTGTTTATTTCCTTTTCGTTCTCCTTTAACATTTAGTACAATTCAAAAATATTTTTCTGTGGTTAATACATGTAGAGAAGGTAAAATTATTATTTTTTTTAAATGCCATCCTCCCTCCGCTGAGCACAGAGATAAGAGCTAGGTTTTAAAGGGCCAGGAGCCCTCCCCCCACCTGTATCCTACCCCCACCTCCGCTCCCTGGGAGCTGGTAGTGGCTCCCCCACCCCACTCCACCCCCAGATCATCACCCTCACTTTTTATTTGTAAATTAAAACCATCCCGGTGATTTTGAGAAGAGCAAAAATTCCCTTTTTCCTGGCCATAGATGTGACCTCTTGGGGAAAGGTGAGGACTTAGAGTCAGACCTGAGATCCCAGAATAGTTTACAAGCTGTGTGACCTAGGGCTAGTGGTTTAACCTCTCTGGGCTTCCTGCTCCTTGATACTTACAAGGAAATGACAGCACCACCTCCCTCCCAGGTTACCTGGGAGGATTTAAATGCAGGGAAAGTGCCTGACTTGTAAAAGACTCGTAATAAGAAGTTTGTCCTCGTTCTGCCCAACAAGACTACTTCCCAGTGCCTGCACGGGATAGGAAGGGCAGAACTTCTCCCAGAGGGTCGGCACGGTTTGGGGACATTTCTGTTGGCCCCGGCCAGATGGGAGTCAAAAGCTCTGAGACATGGAACTGTAACCTGGGGGGCAGGAAGCAGGAAGCCAAGCAGACTTAAACAAAAGAAATACCCACAGCCACATCATTGACCGGCCCTGGGAGACGGTGCCGGGCAGGGATCAAGCGTGAGGACCAGGCAATTGGGGGTGATGTGTCCCAGCTCCCGAGTGGAGGCAGCAGGGACCTCTTTGGGATCGGGGGAGGGCCAGGCCCTGCTGACCTGAGGTGGTGTGTGTCCAGGCAGGGGTGGGCACAAGCTAGGAGCAGCAGAGGACAGCTCTTCACCAGGGGCTAAGGTCTCAGTCACAGGAGAGAATGGGGAGGGGAGAGCCTAGAAGGGCTGGCCGGGAGCAGAGAGAGAGAGCCGGTCCCTAAACCGGTCCAGGAAGAGAGGAGGGAGGAGAGGAATTCCAGGCTCTGACCCCAGCCCCCTTGTCCCTGCTGGAGGAAGCTGTAGCACCTCCCACCACTCACCCTGTGTCCTGCGGCCTCACACAGCGGCTCCTGGGCCCCGGGCCTCTGGGCGGCCTCTGGCTCCTTGGCCCATGTCTGCAATCATAACTTGTTGCTGGCCCAGGCCCCCAGGCCCAGCCGCGGAGGCAGGGAGGAAGGGAGGGAGGCAGGGCAGAGGGAGGGAGGGCGGGCAGAGGGAGCCGGCTGAGCTGGCTTCCCACTTCTCCTCCTCCCGGCGCCCTCCCCTCCAGCCTCTGGGTTCTGCGGAGATGAAAGGAGCCGGGGATTTCCTTTGCTTAACTCTTTGGCGGTCCAGTGGGGTCTTGCTTGATTCAGAGGCCCAATAAAGTCAGAGCAGGAAGGGGTCTGATGCCCCTGATGTGCAGGCTGGGCAATCCAGGCCTGGGAGGGGGAGGGGGAGGGGCAGGAGGCCCCTGAGTTGCTCAGGAGGTGGGGGCAGTGCTGGACTCCCGCTGCCTGGGCTCCAGCCTGAGCTGAAGAGCTCCCTCACTCCAGGATGCGGAGTGGAGAGGGCACAGGCACCAGCCCAGCAGCCTCAGGCTCGAATCCCGGCACTGCCACCCACTAGCCAGTGACTTGGGCCAGAACCTTCGCCTCCCAGACCCTAGGTGCCTGTAGAACTCCAGTCCCCAGCCCATCCACGCCAGGCATAGGGGAGACTCAGTAAATGTCTGCTGAGCGAAGGAATTACCTCCTCAGGTACCAGGTAAGGGCAGCAGCCAGGACAATGCCCCCATCCCCAATGGACACCAAAGTCCCCCTCCTCTGCCTGGAATTTTGCCACGACTGATTCATCCTTCCAGTCTTTAGAGCCAATGTCCCCATGGACATGACCTCCAAGAAGCTCGCAGGAGGGCAGACTGCACCGTATGCCCCTGGGCCTGGGCCGGCTCCTGCCTCACCTTCCTTCTGCTTCCTGGAGTCAGAGACCCCTGTGCAAAGACAGTCTCAAACGTCCTCCGCCCTCCAGCGTCTCTCATCCATGTGTGTCGAGTGCTTACCGCCCGGACCAGGCCTCATCTTTGCAGGGCTTTTGGTACCCGGAGGGTGTTCACATCCACTATTTCAACGAATCCCACCCCAGCCTTGGGAGAGAGAGCTAGAGTGGGAGCTGATGGGACTTGTGCAAGGTCACAGGGCTAGTGAAGAGGAACCACAACCCCACAGAACGAAGCGCTCTCCAGCCCCTGGAGTTGCCACGATGGCACAGCTGGGCACGGCTGGGGCAAAGGCTGCAGTTCGGGGGCTGTCCCCTGGGGAGAGAGAGGTGGTGACATTATCTCCCTCAGGAGGTGCAGGAGTGGGATTTATTGAAGTCTGGGGCTTTGGGCTCTAAACCCCTGTCCCCACTCACAGCTGGGCAAAGTGTGGAGGATGGAACAGCCCCGGGGCTGTGCCTCCTTGACCAGCTCTCTCATCTCTGGGCCTCAGTTTCCTATTCGTTTTGGGGATAACCAAACAGAAAATATCAGGCCTGGAAGGATCCTTAGAGAGGATCTAATCCAACTCCTTAATCTGACCCACAGGGACACTGTGACTCAGAGAGGGCAAGTCTTTGGCTCAAGGTCACACAGCCACTGGAGTCCAAGCCGGGATGAGAGCCAGACTCTCCCAACCTCTAGCCTTGTGGGGCTTCCTCCTCCCAAGCCCACTTGCAGCACCCCTCCCCCCCGAGGCCTGTTTAGGGGTCGAAGGGGCCCAAAGGAAAGCAGATGGAAGGACCCTAACAGCTGGGAAAACTGTCAGGTCCACTCTCTACGTGGCTGTGCCCTCTACGTGGCCCTGCCCCAGGCAGCATTCCCAGGGCACAGGGCCAGGCCTGCCGAGGGAGGGAGCCAAGGGGAGCCACCCTCCCCACCTTCCCCACTCAGCTGCCCCCCAGGGGAAAGGGCTGAGTCAGCAGCACAGCTCCCGAGAAAGCCTAGCATCTCAGGAAAGGGGGAAGGGAAGGGAAGGCGGGTGGGGCATGGGAGCAGCAGGCTGGGGACACAGGAGTGGTTTGTCCAGAGCACTGTGCTCCATGCCACACTCAACAGCCCCTCTGCAGGGACGGCTGCTCATCCCCCTTGACAGGGGAGGAGGCTGAGCCCTGGAAAGGCACATGACTCCAGGCCAGGTTCTAGGGCCAGCCCCTTTGGCTCCCAGCCACGTTGACACAGACCCAGAAAAGGGTCCCCTTGTCCCCCTTAGTCCAGGGCAGCTGGCTAGGGGCAGGGCAGACAAGAGAGCAGGACTCAGGAATATTATACTGTAATATTTTCCCACCGTACCTAAAATCCCTCCATTCGTGCATCATCCCTTGGTCTCCCAGCCATTCCAAGGATGCCCCCAGCAGAGCACCAGCCCCAGGGCCGAAAGAACTGAGTTGTGGCTCACCTTCCTCTCCTTCTAGCTGTGTGACCTTGGGCATGTTTCCCTGCCCCTGAGCCTCCGTGTCCCTGGGCCAGAGGGACACGAGGAGGCCAAGACCATCTGAGCAGCCTGGTGGGACCCCCAGTGGGGGCACTCTATCCTGGCCGCCCATCCGTGCTTCTCCCTGGGTAAACCCTGAGTACGGCGAGGGCGAGAGCCCATTCTGCTCACACACACAGATGAGGAAAATGAGGCACAGGCTCGCTGACGCTCAGAACCAAGCTCCCAGCCACATCCCACCGTCCAGCCCAGGGTCGGGAGAAGGTATGCAAGTCGTGACACTTAGTCAGTGCTTACAAAGCGCAGGAACCCTTCACGTATTTAAAAAACAAAACGTGTGCCTGCCCAAACGCGAGAGAACAGAAAACACAATGATTCCCAGAGTCCGCTATGCAAATTGTTAACGACAAGTCACAGATCTAATTGTTCAAGGACAGAGACCCATTAAGAAACTAAACGAAGGAGACGGTGAGCGCCACCTGCTGGGGGCAGCCGTCGCACCCGGCGGCTGTGATCTCCCCATCCCACGCGGCGCCCACCCATCCACCCGCGGCTGGCGATGCTCCCCCCGCCCCATCCCCTTCCCCGAGAGCTAAGGTTGGGGGGAGGGGGGGCGGAAGATGAAGGGCCCACTGAGACGCGCTAGGGGCCGGCTGGGGAGCCTTCTTCCTCCAAACCCCACTCCCCGCAAAGTAAGCAGAGGATCCAAGGGGACCCCTCTCGTCCAAGCAGCTCGCTCGCTGGGCTTCCTGGTTCTGCTGAGCCCTCCTTTAACTAGCGGGGTGGCCCTGGGTAAACTTCGCTCCCTGGACTCAGTTTCTCCAACCGGGGCTTTCAGCAACCCATGACTGATATGGGTGTTAATCTGAGTCGGGCGAGTTTCACCCCATTTTACAGAAGGGTAAACTGAGTCCCCCAGAGACGGAAGGAGCCAGCGCCGACCCAGGGCCTCTGGACCCTGACGAGGACCCTGCTAATTGTTAGAGGGGGAAACTGAGGCTCGGGGAAACTGAGGCTCAGGGAAACGAGCTCCCACCGGCTCCCTCCTCACGGCCGCCCAGTGGCAGAGCCCGGATGATGGGGTCGCCAGGGGCGCGGGAGCCCAGCGCCAACCGCCCCCTTCTCTCGGCGGAATTAGGGGAGCGACTCCCCACCCCAGGCCCGGAGGCCCTCCATCCCCGCCCGCTTCGGCCTCGAGCACTGGGAGGACTGCCGCCAGTCGCGGCCACGCCGGGCACCGCCCAGGGCGGAGCCAAAGCGGACCCGCGCCTCGGGAAACCCCCCGCTGCCGCCTCGGAGCCTCCCTCCCGGAAGCCGGAGAGACGAGCCGCGGCAGCGCCCCGGAGGGGCCTATGCGCGTCCGGCGCCGAGGGGAGCCGAGCAGAACCGAGCAAGGCCGAGCTGGGCCGAGCAGAGACGAGTCCGGCCGAGGGTTGCCGACGATAGCCGAATAGAGCCGAGTCCAGCCGAGCCCAGCCTGTCCGGCCGAACATAGCCGAGTCTGACCGAGTGGGGCCAACTAGAGCCGAGTCCGGCCGAGCGGAGCTGCTGGGCCGACTCCGCGCGGCGAGGGGGAGGTTCCGCGGCGCCCCCTGCCGGACACAGAGCGCAGCGCTGGCCTCGCCGGAGCCAATCCGCCCGCCCCCCCCCACCCCGGTCCTGAGACAGTGCTGTGAGATGGGGGATATGGAGCCCATTTTATGGATGAGGAAACTGAGGCTCCAGGGGGTCCTGAGGCTGTCCCAAAGACACGCAGAGCTAAGAGGTGGTGGCGCTGGGGCTCGAACCTGACTGCGTGGCCAAGAGCTCACCTGCCACCGCCGCCCATGCACACGGGCATTGGGTGTTTACTTTGTGTTACTCTCGTAATGGCAGCCATTTATTACGGCCAGAGAGGAGGAGAGGCCCGCCCTGTCTGGTGAGCAGGCGGAGGGCCGGGCCGAGCTCAGACACAACCCCCCTTACTGATGGAGAAAGCGGACAGGCTCCGGGCGTGCCGACAGAGCGCCGCGGGGCTAGCAGTGCCGTGTGCAAATATTGACATGTTTCCTGGTCATTAAGCAGAGAGCAGGGCCGAGAGGCCACGTGCCACCGTCCTCGTCCTCCTGTAGCGAGATGGCCCTAGAGATGGCCCTGGCTGCCTACAGCTGTGTTTCCCGGTGTCTGGGACCCTGGAGGCTGGGACACTGGCCAAGTGTGGACCCAGCACTGTCTTTGAGCCTGTGAAAAAGTGAAGGCAGCCTTGCCCTCCACGCATGCACTTGTGCATGAGTGTGTGCCTGTCATTCTCCCCTGTGTCCACACCACCTCAGCCTGCCAGGCAGGCCTGTGCCGGGGCTGCAGGGCTCGCTAGAGCGTGGCTGGGCCTCTAGGAGCTGATCAAGGTCCTGGTGGGGCCTGGGCAGCCCTCCTGCCTGTTGGGTCTTGTGCAAGGGCATCGTCTGCCATTCCCCGGGGGCCATCAGAGAGCTGGCACCAGTGGCCTCAGAGCTCTCTGCACCCTCAGCCTCCCTGGCCCTCGTTCTCATAGTTTTAAAAAACTATGCACACTGGACTGGGGGCTGGGAAAACAGGTTCTTGGTCCTGCCTCTGGTGCAGTGACCCTGGGCAAGTCACAGGACCATCCCAGCCTCACTGTCTTCAGCTGTGAAATGCAGATCAGAGCTGGTCTCAGCACTTGGCCGTCTCCCAGGTCTCCCTCACGGGGGGGAACAAACTCCAGTTCCCTCTTTACGCTCAGCTGGGCTGTAACCCCTCCTGGGGAGACTTCCACCCCCACCAGGGATGGACTCTTGCTTCCTGTAAGGCCCTTCTAGTGTTTATTCAACACGGAGCACCCACGATGCACTGGGCACTCTTCTAAGCTGTTAATAAATATTAACTCCTTTAAACCTCCTAACAATACACACATCTGTTCTCATCCTCCTCTCAGAGAGGAGGAAACTGAGGCACAGAAAGATTAGTTAACTAATGGCTCAAGGTCAGACAGCTAGCGAATGGATGAGCCGGAATTCAAACCCAGGCAGGCTGGGGACTTAGGAACTGCCTCTTTCTGCGTCTTTATCTCTTATCTTCGCTGCGACTTCCTTCACCCTGAAAGACGGGCCTCACATTTCTCTGCCTTCGGCTTTTTGCAGTTGGCAGCCGCCCAGTGAACACTTGTTGAATGAAAGCCTGAATGAGTTAGTCTCCGGAGACCGGAGACCGGAGAGGAGAGGCCGTTATCTCGGTCTTGCAGGTGGGAAATCGTATTCATCTGCCCGGGCTGCCATAGCAAAGTACCGCAAGCTAGGTGGCTTAACAACAGAAATTTACTTTCTCATAGTTCCGGAGGCTGGAAGATCACAGTGACAGGCAGAGCTGCTTGCTTCTGAGGACTGTGAGGGAAGGATCTGTTCTGGGCCTCCCTTGCAGCTTCTGGGGCTTTGCTGGCCATCTCTGGGATTCCTTGGCTTGTAGAAGCGTCACTCCAGCATCTTCCTTGTGTGCGTGTTTGTGTCCAAATCTCTTTTCTTAAGGACCCCCGTCCTTAAGGGGGGGGGCCCTCCGCTCTCCAATATGACCTCTTCTTAAGTACTTACACCTACAAGGACCCTATTTCCAAATAAAGTCCCATCCAGAGGTGCTGGAGGTTAGGACCTCAACATACGAACTTGAGCGGGGGAGACGCAATTCATCCGATGATAAGATTCAACCCTCTGGGAGGTCCTGTCTGAGCCAGCCTCTATTCCTGAATTAGGCCTCTCCTCAGCCTTTCTCCCTCTCATCCACTGCGTTCCTCCAGCCTCAAGGCCTCAGGGAACACAGGGCCCTCTGCCTGGCACACTCACACTGGTCCTCTGCTCTCAGCGCAGCCCCCTCACTGACCCCTCCCCCCGAACCGTGCCCCCAGAGCACACTGCACTTCCCTTCCCACGGGAGAGCTACCTGTGTGGCTGCCTGTGAGCACTCACAGCACAGGCGCCGTGTCTGTTCCCTCCACTGTCCTCCCCACCCAGTGTCAGGGCCTTGTATACAGTCGGTGCTCAGGAAAATCTTTGTTAACTTAGTGAACTGTGCCCAGAGAGGTGAAGTGAATGGCCCAAGGCCACACAGCAGGTTTGTGGCAGAGTGGGCCTAGGGTCCAGGCCTCCTGACTTCGGGTCCCATGGCTTTTAGGGGCTGCATTTCCCCCACCGCCTTCCAGTGGACTCACCGAGGGTCTCACCAGGGCCTGCCCGTAACAGCAGAGCACCCTGAGGCTGTGGCTGGACGTGGCCTTGCACAACTCCAGGGAGCGCCCCTCACATTACAGCCTGGGGTTCTCGCTGCTTTTAGAGCGTTTTCTTCTGTGTCTGGAGTCCTGTGGAGCCCAGGCTGTCACCTTCCCATGGGACAGTGGCCTCTGTCTGCCCCACCCCTTGTAGGTGAGAAGCACCTGAAGGGCTGGGGCCTCGGCTTCCCCTCTCCCCGGCCCTGCGGCCTCCCAGCTCCTCTCGCTGATGCTGACGCTGATGCTGATGCTGATGCACGGAGTCCTGGTCCAGAGCCTGGTGGCCATGGGCTGTTGCCTGGCAACCGCCTCTGAGAGACAAGTTCAAGGTATGGCCTTGGGTCTGAGCAACTTGGCTGTCTGGAGAGGAGGAGTCAGGCAGGGAGGGTCGGCACACCCCTTCCTGCCACTCAGGCTCACAATCCAGAGCCTACCCTCGCCCTGCAGCCCCTGCAGGTCCCATAACCCACAGACTCCAGCCCCGAACCCCAACACAAGCTCCTTCGGTGCCCCCGGCCCCTCTCCTCTGCTTATTCAGGGTCACCGCGTCGCACAGATCCAAAGGAGGCTCGAGTCTCAGGGTGGAGATTGCCCCTGGAGTTGGGAAAGGCAATTCCCCCCATTTGTTCATTTATTCCAAATATTCACGTGAAGGCCCGCAGTGCTGCTGGGCCCTGGGCACACAGACGCATCAGGCACAGCCCCTACCTGGAGGGACAAGGCGAGCGGGACACCCACAAACACGCATGCACATGAGCATGCACAGGTCATGACACACTGTGTCGGGGGAAGGCCCAGGGGCTGTGGGGTCTAGCGGGGGAACCCCGGCCCAGGCACTCCTCCCAGACAACACTCGGCCCCCAGAGTTCCTCTGCTCCCACCCCGTGCACACCTGCCACATGCACAGCGGGCCCTCGGTGTTAAAACCCCTTCACGTTCACTCATGGATCGGCTGAGATGCCCTGTCACCTACTATGTGCCCTGCACTGGGCTCACACACACATCCCTCCCGTCTGCTGTTGTCGCTGCCTGGCCCACCTCCCCTTGCCGTGGGTAGTCTGCCTGTGACTCATCCCCTACCCCATTGGTCAGGCCAAACTGTCCATCACAGTGGCAGGAAGGATGGGCATGTGACCCACACCTGGCCAATCATGACACTCTATCACCTCGTCTTTGGTGATTGGCCCAAGGGACCATCATGTGTCCCAGTTGGAGCCAATCAGCTTTCTTCCATGAGATTTGATATTTGGACACAGGAAGAGAGTATATCTACTGTTTTTGGATAAGATCTGTAAGGATGTAGGCTGAGGCTTGTCAGGGGCATCTTCCATGTGCCCTGGAGGACCGGGACTCTGGGGGGCCACACACAAAGAGGCCTGGCCACAGAGCTGAAAGGTGGATAGAGGGAGCATCCTGATAGAGACGGACCCCCACACACACCCATCCATGCATGCCAGTCTAGACACTCAGCACCTGGCAGAGGAATTGGCTCAGGCCACAGCTGTTGTCATGTGTTACCGTCTTTATTGACAAGACCTAGGGGCAGAAGCAGCAGATTTCCCTAAGGGGCCTCCCAGCCACCCTTGCAGAATAGGCTCCCCTGCCCCAGGAATCAGGAAGGCAGGGCTGGCCACGGAATGCTGGAATGCCAGGGGCCCCTCATCCCTCAGACCCCCAGATCCTCCTCAGGGGAACCCCAGACCGAGGGCTGGGCCTCTAGCCTCCAACCTGCACACAAGGTCTGGTTTTGTGATATTCCTTCCCCCTGAGGGGGCCAACCTCTCCCCCAAGCCCCGCCTCCCTGATCCTTGGCCTCTGACCCCCCAATGCCCCGTTTGTCGTGTCCTGCGGTGTCCTCTCCCCCAAGGGCTAGAGAAAGAGAGGCCACTTGATGAAGAAAAAGGGGGTGTAGGCTGAGCCTGGCATGGGGGCCGCCTCCACTTTATAACGCCCTGATACGCACCCCCCCACCCCCACCCGTTGCAGTGTGTGGGTCTGTTTACCCAGCTCACATCCCAGGAGCCAGGCAAGCTGAGACAACCACCTCCATTTTATGGTGGGGAAACTGAGGCCCAGAGAGGTCAAGGCTAACCAGGATCCTGAGGTAGGTTGAAGACCTAGGTCTCCCCATTTGTGGTTCCCATGCTTTCCCTGAGGGTCCCCTGCCCTCTGCAGGGTGGGGGTTGATGGGTTTAGCCCGAGGGACCGCCCTCCATGGGGCCAGTCTCACTGTGGCTCTAAGGGGTCATCTCTGGGAGGGAGTCCAGGCGGGTCCATGCCCAGCCTTGGTCAGTGGCCTCTTCCTGTGGTCCCACGCCAGCCTCCTCTTGTCTCCCCTGGGCTTCCCCGAACTATAGCCCCAGGGAGCAGAGAGGCAGGCCCTCAAGGGGGCCGGCCCTGGACCCTTCAGAGCATTTGCTTTTCCACCCTGGTGGCATCTTTTCCTTGAGATTGATCCGGCCAGCCATCGGCAACCCAGTTTCATTGACGCCGCAACTGGGCTCAGCCCAGAGGGGTGGAGGACAGCTCCAAGGTCATGGAACAGATCTGTCCTCCACCCTCCTCCTGGTCCTCACCCCTTCCTCTTCCTCTTTCCCCTGCCCTCTCTTCCTCCCCCTCCCCCCCTTCCTCCTCCTCTTCCTCCTTCTCCTCTGTTGAGACGCTCTGCCTTCCATGCCCATCCGCCTGGGCCGGGTCCCTGCTGTGGTCCCTAGGAGGGGAGGAACGGGGACGGTGTCTCCTGTGAGGGGGCTCCTGGAGTCTCAAAGATCCTGAGACTCCCTCCCACCCCCTGCCCTCCACCCGGCCCCACCCCCACCCCTCTGCAGCCACAGGACACAAAGTGAGCTGCTTTGGGGATTGATCAGCTGCCCTCAATAGAGGTTAACCTAGGTTTTGGGTGGCCTAAGCTTATGCAATTTGGAGTCCCTCTTTAAGAAAAAGAATACAAAATTACGAGTACAAAATTAGACGCAGGGCCTCGGAAGGGCCCCAGCAGTAAGGGACCTGAAGCTGGACTTAGTTAGCTTCCTGGAGAACCTACCCCTTCTCCTCGTGTCCAGGAGCACACGAGCCCCGGCGCTGACCGTCTGGGCCAAGGGGGCCTGGAGGTTGTTGGGTTGTTCGGCAGGTGAGCCCTGAGGCCCAGAGAGGAGAAGAGCTGGTTCCAGGCCTTGCAGCCAGTGGGGGAGAGCTGACATGGGCCTTGACGGTCTCACACCCTCCTCCCGCCGAGTAAAACTTTCCTCTATTCGTGGCCTGAGTCCAACTCCCTGTGAACCTGGGGCCCCAGTCCCTCTTCTGGGAACCTGACTCTGAGCCCAGGAACTCCGGCCTTGGTTTATCCCTCTGAGGGCCAAGATTCAGGCTGATCCACCAGGTTGCTCCATCTAGGAGGGGAAAGGGCAGTCTGCCCGTATCCTCTTCACCTGGGCCCGCCTCAGGAAGGTCAGCCCAGCAGTGATGCCCTCCAGACTTCTCATTTGGCGGAGCTCGTCCAGGCCAATGACTCCCATCCCTGAGTCACAGAGAACACGAGGCCCAGAGAGGGGAAGCTGACCCATCCAAGGTCATGCAGCAAGTCCCAGCAGCACTGGGATCAGAGCCCAGGCGTCCGAACACCCCATCATGGGCCCCTGGCCCCTCGGGTGGCCTCCCTAGGCACACCCACAGCCTCTGCCTTGTCCTCGGGCCACCCTGGCCCTCTGCAGGCCCCTACAGATAGCTGATGTGCAGCGTGCCCGACTTCTCCCCAGCTGAGGGCTCCTGGGGTAGGAACTGCTGCTCCTTGCCGGCCGTGCCGCTGGGCGGCCGCTGCTGCCCGCTGGTGCCGGGCTGTGTGATCTGGCTGACCCGGCTGTTCTCCTCCTTCCTCTCCCCTGGCTTCCCTGCCCCCTTCTCCCCACCCTTCTCTCCATCCTCTTCCTCGTCCTCCTCGGTCTTCTCCGGAGGCCCCGCAGGGGGCTCGTGGCTGCGCACCCGGCGGGAAGGCCGCAGCAGGACCCGGCGGAAGCCCTGCTGGAAGCGGTAGGAGAGGAAGCCGTAAAGGATGGGGTTGGCGCAGCTGTTGGCATAGGGCAGTGCCACCACCAGGAAGTAGAGGCCGAAGAAGGCAGGCTCCTCAGGCAGCGGGCACACCACGTTGATGATGTTGAGCACGTAGAAGGGCATCCAGCAGAGGACGAAGAGCGCCACCACGGCCACCACCATGCGTGTGACCCTGCGCTCGGAGCACCGCCGCCGCTGGCACGAGGGTGCCCGCACCCGCCGGCCAGCAGAGCGCACTTTGACCACGATGAGCAGGTAGCAGAGGCAGATGACCAGCAGTGGCCCAAAGAAGCCCAGCGCGGCCGTGTAGATGATGAAGCCAGCTCGCCAGGCCGCCGCCGGCTCGGGCCACTGCATGTGGCAGGTGCTCATGCCACGGGGCACGCCCGAGAAGACCACCACGGGCAGCACCACCACGGCTGAGGCCACCCAGACGGCCACGCTGACTGTGCGGGCCACGGGCGCCGTGCGCCAGCGGGCAGAGCGGGTGGGGTGCACCACGGCCAGGTAGCGATCCACGCTCATGACGGTGAGGCAGAAGATGCTGGTGAACTGGTTGATGCCGTCCACGGCCATGACCAGGCGGCACATGAGGGAACCGAAGGGCCAGTAGGACAGGGCGTTCTGGGCAGCCAGGAAGGGCAGGCCCAGCATGAAGAGCTCGTCGGCCAGCGCCAGGTTGAGGATGTAGACGTTGGTGACCGACGGGCTGGCCGTATGCCGCAGGACCACGTAGATGACCAGCGAGTTGCCCAGCAGGCCCACCACGCACACCACCAGGTAGACCAGTGGGATCAGAACACCGCTGATGGCCAGCCCTGCTGTGCTCGGGGCTGAGGATGCATTTCCCAGGGTGACATCCAGGGGCCAGACTGAGGAGGTGTTCCCAGGTTCCGAGGTCGTGGGCACCGATGAAGGATAGCCAAGGGTGTCCATGGCTGAGGGGAGGGCGGTCAGCAGCTGCTATTGGCCTGGAGGAGGGAGGACACAGCCCGGTCATGGCAGAAGCTGGCTTTCTCTCCACTGCCCCTCCCCCATCACACTACCGTGCACCTGGGCAGAATCTGACCTGCACCAGCCCATTCACTCTGCACAGGAGGGCAAGGTAGGCTGGCAACATGTCCCCACTTCTCAGATGGGGGAGCTGAGTCTCAGAGAGGTGACATGACCACCCTGTTTCACACAGCTAGGGCATGGCATGGGACATGGGCTTGCCTGGCTCCAAAGGGCAGGGCCCAGCGCTGGCAGGTGCACCACCGTGTCCCTTCGCCCATGCACAGGGTGAGTGCTCCACACATGTCCAATAAAGGAACGAGTGGGTCATTCAATCGGCCGATGACAACCTAGGTCTTTCCCTTTATACGAGTGCTTTTCAAACATTTTTTGACACCAGTTCATTTTACATCACAACCCATTGAAACCATATTGTTTCATAAAACAATACTTGTCCCTTCTACATAGGATGGCCCCAGCTGAGAGCCCCAAGTGCATCACCCACTACTACAGACTGAATGTGTACCCCGTTAATTCATATGCTGAACCCTCACCCCCAGTGTGGTAGTATTAGGAGGGGGGCCCTGGGAGGTGATTACGTCATATGGGTGGAGCCCCCGTGAATGGGATTAGTGCCCTTATAAAGGAGACTCCAGGGAGCTCCCCTGCCCCTTCTGCCGTGTGAAGACACAGTGAAAAACTCTGCTTTGAAAAAAACTACGGCACATCACAGGTCCTTAACCTTGACCCGGGTCTCCAGATGAACTTCAGAGGATCCACGAGCCCTCTGTGGAAACTCTGTGAAAGTTAACATGTCCGTGTCTTGTCTGGGCGGAGCCCAGAGCTTTCATCAGATTCCGAATGGAGTTAAGAACCACAGGCTCAGGAGTGTCCCCACCCCTGGGAGTCAGAGCCCTTGGGGACCCCTTTAACCCAGCCCACCCCACTCTGCCCCCAAAAGGCCCTGCCTGGGATGGTTGGCTGTGAAGCTGGGGGTGGGGCTGGGGCCCCTTCTCCTGCCAGAGGCTGACTTGTGCTGGAGAAATTCACAACACACTGGAGGTGGGTATGAGAACAGCCCCCTCCCCCTGCACTGGCGGGGCAGGCTTCCCGAGAAGAGGGCATTTCATATGGGTCTTGAAGCATGGGTAGGAGCTTGCCCACGGGCACAGTGGGAGCCAGCATCCCTGTTTACTTTGTTAGCACCTTTCACGTCGCCCCTCCCTTGTATTATAGGGAGCTGGGACTCTTCCAGGCTCCCTGCTAGACTTGACACTCCTTGAGTTGGAGACACCCCTGTTTCACTTTGACCCTTCCCCTCAAACACAGCTCTGCATCAGTGTGTGAGGCATCGAGGACTCACAGGAACTGGAGTGGACAGTTCTTAATGCAAGGGGTGGATGAACTGCTGCTAGTGGAGATTCAGGCCCCCCGGGGAAAGGCCCCCAGGGTTTGCTAGCCTCCCTCAGCAGGACTTCCTGGCTCTCAGGAGGCCCAGGTAGAGGCCAAGGCTGAAAGCTAGAGCCTCATCTGGGGCCTGGATCTCCCCGACCCTTTCTTCCTAATGACACCCCCTCCCCGTCCCTTGGCTCTGGGCTGCCCCCTGACTCTCCCTCCAGAAACCCTGAGGGAGAAAGAAATCTCGCAGAGGAGAAGCTCTTCCTCCAACATCCTCCCGCCCGAGGATGGGCCTGAACCGCCTCCAGCGAGACCTGCGATCTGCACGGCCCTGTCCGGACACCACTTTTAAGATGCACAGCTCCTGGAAAGGGCAGGCACCGCAAATTGAGCAAACACTTCTGGGTGGGTTAGCGCGCCTGGTTGCCCCTCCCGGTGACGTGGGGCTTCCAAGGGCTCTGAGCACCAGGCAGGGCGGTGCTGAGAATGGCACAGAACCCAGGCTGGGGCTCAGAGCACCCCTCGCTGCTCCTCCAAGCCAGGAGGGAGACCCCCAACTGACCTCAAACCTCCCTTCACCCCAGGACCTCGTCAGCACTCCTGAGCCTGGGACAGCGGCACTAAGGGAGGGGCTGTCTGGGCAGTGGGCTCATAGGACCCTAACAGTGCTGCCAGCTCCTTGTCACCCAGGCCCGATTGCCAGGGCTAAGCTGGTGATGTACAGCACCCTATGGGGTATTATGAGGGAGACACTGGTGTCATTCCCACCGTACAGACAGGGAACAAAGGTGAAAGGTGTGCTGTGGTCACACAGCTAGGAAGGGGCAGAGCTGGGAGGACCCTTAAGACCACCCTCCTCCCACCTCCATTTCACAGGCGGGCCTGGGGAGGACACTTGCCTCAGTGTCACAGCTGGTCAGGGCACCCAGCTGGCACCCAGCTCTCCCACTGGCTCTTGAACTGTTAGGATCATGGACCCAAATCCCTAGACTCTTAAAGGCCTAAAAATAGCATTTTAGATTCTTAGAATTGAGTTGTAGAGTCATAGATTTTTAGATTCCGTGTCCTTGAATCCGAGAATGTCAGAATTCCAGAATGCCAGAATCAGCCCTTCTTAGACCCGGAATTGTGGAATCTGGGACCTTAGAGTCCTGGCTTCCTCAGCCAGGGGGCCCTACGTCACCACCCATCCACCTTGCCTCTGTGCGCAAATCCTCTTTACAGCATCCCCTCCGGGCGGCCAATTGCAACCCAGAGCTGGAGGAGGGAGGAGAGCGCCAGGCTCCTGAGAGAGGCCGGGCTCCTGAGAGAGGCGCAGCGAGCCAGGCAAACCTAATTTCCAGGCTGCAGGGACAGATGCCCCCAGGGAAACCTGGGGGTGAGCTCTCAGGACAGCCCCCTCCAGCCAGGCCCTCCCTTTATACGGGGAGGGGGGTGAACTAGCCCCTCCCTGAGCTCCTGGCTCCTCTGGAAGACTCCCTGCCTCCACCCTTATCTGGGCCCATCTTCCTCGTCAAAGTTTAACGGCCCGGGGCGTCAGAAGCGGGGAAATTACAGCTTTCCGTGGGCGTCAGCCAGACCTGCAATTTAGGTGCCGTCTTTTTCTTCAAGGAGCTGGAATCCTGTGCATGATCTAGTTCCTCCTGGGGGAGGAGGGACTTTTCTTCCCTGTCTGGTTTATCTTGGGCACAAGCTTGCCTGAAAGCCGGGGGCGGACTCCTCAGAGGACTGCTCGGGAGGAGACGGAGGCCCAGAGAGGGTGAGTGGCTGCCCTGAGCCCCACAGCAATTCAGAACGGTCCCTCACGGATGCCAGACGCCCCAGTCACTCTCCTTTGTCTGTCCCCCACTCCCTTCCCCTCTGGAGTGCCGGCTCTTGGGTGCAGGGACCCTGAGCTGTTTGTTTCTTTAACCCCAGCCTGCAGCCCAGTACCAGCACATCGGGAAATGGGAACAGACCAAGCAGTTCAGTGAGTAGAGCTCCAAGGTGGGCCGCTGCTGCCTGGCAGAGCCCTCAAACTCAGATCAGGAAATCCTCACAAGCCCACGAGGGAGGGTTTTTAGAGAGGAGGAAGGCGAGGCCCAGAGAGGTTCAGTCAGCTACACAAGGTCACCCAGCCGGTGAGTGGGAGCCAGTATTCCAACCCAGCCCTGTCTACTCCTAACCCATCAGTACCTCCCGGCCCTGCCGGCTTCCCAGAAGGCCTCGGCTGAGAGGAGATGAGGACTGGGACAGCCCTAGACGATGCAGGCTGATGGCCCCTGGCCAGCTCTGCATTCTGCTTGCCCTCTGCTCCCCTCGGCCTTCCCCCAAGAGACCCGGATAGCGCTAGTCAGGGCCATTGACTCCCTCCCACCCCAGGCCAGGAATCTGCCCCCAGGAACATGCCCCACGAGCCCTAGGCTGGGGGCTTAGGCTCTGCCACAGAGTGATGATGCAAATTGCTGTGTGACCTTTGGCAAGTCACTTCCCACCTCTGGACCTCAGTTTCCTCCTATTAAAATGAAGACCAGCGTACCCACCTCCCAGGGTTGTAGAAAGGACTAAACAGCAGTGTGCTGAGCACAGTGCCCAGCACGGAAGGGAGCTCAGGGAAGCTGGCACGTGAGCCGAGGAGGCCAACGACGTGATGCATCTGGTTCCTCCCAGCTCCAACATTCTGCTGTTCTGTGATTCCACGATTCTAGAACTGTGGCACGAAATTCTGAGATTAATGCCCTCCACCCCCTGCAGCCCACCAAGAGGTCGCAGGAAGCCCTCCTTCCTCCCTGGGCCCAGCCCCCAGCCTCAGCCTCCCACGTTAATCCTGGGCAGAGGGTGGGCTCCAGCACCCACCCTCCGGGACCCCACCCAGGCCCCAGCCTCCTTACCTGCCCAGGGGGCGAGGGATGCCCTCCTTGCTGCCAGGCTGGTTATCATTCTGCTGGCCCCTCTCCCTGCCCAGTCCCCTGTTGCCCCCAGAGCACCCCTTCACCGGGGGCCCCACACTGTGCCCACTTCTAGACTGGGTGCGGGCCGGCGGCCCCTCTTAGGCCCGCAGCAGCCACGGCTGCCCGCAGAGCCGCTCCCATCTGGTCTCCGGCCCTGACTCCCCACCGGCGCCTGGTGCGTCACCCCCCATCTCCAGGACACCTCCTGGACGGGGGGGTAGGGGCACAGATGGGGGGTCTGCAGGCAGGAGCCTCCCAAGGAAAAGAAGGAAAAGGGGAACAGTGGACTGTAAGGAGCCAATAGAAATAGAGGAAAAGGGGGGTCGGTCGGAGGTGGAGAGAGAGAGAGAGAGAGAAGACAGTGAGTGGGTGGAAAGCCAGAATGAGGGGGGGCGATGAGAAATGCGTGACAGGGAGAAGGGAAGGAGGGAGGAGAGGGAGCGGAGAAGGGGCAGAGGGAGAGATGCAGAGAGGAGAGCAGCAGGGAGAGAGCGAGGAAGGAGGAAGAAAAAGGAGGGGGTGGCAGGGAGAGTGACAGAGAGGGATTGTGCCACAGATGGTGACATGGAGAGCCAGAGAAGGAGGGAGCAGGGGTGGGGGGTGCAGGAGGGACCGGGAGGAGGGGCCGAGGGGCCGGAGCAGGTGCGGGATGAGGGAGGAGGGGCGGCAGGTTGGGGAGAAGGCTGGGGGTCAGACCCTGTTACCAGGGAGATTCCA